CGAATGCGAGAGGGCCCTCGCGTTCGCATAGAAGAAATGTCAGCTGGACAGAAGGGTTTTAATAAATATTTCATCCGCGAGCTAAGCCCTATTTCCACCATTTTTGAGCATCCTTGTGAGCTTTTAGACGGGAATTGAAGAGGATTTCGACTGGGATTGATTGGAGGTAAGCCCTATGAACTAAAAACACGATTTTATTGTGAAATTGACCTTGAAATCCATGGAAACTTAGCAAAAAGGGGAAGAACTAGGGCTTGAGTTTTAATATTTCAAATTGGGATTTGAGGGGTCATTTGGACTCCGATTTTGGTAATCTTTATATGTATAGACTCGTGGCGAGATAAGGAGTCCGTTGATGTTAAACTTTTTTATTTTCGAGAAGTGGGCCCGGGGCTCGGGTTTTGCTAATTTCGAGGTTTTTGCTATTTTTCGATTGTCTTCGATTGGTTATTGTTCCATTGGCATATTGTGACGTATTCGTTGTGGTTTTGGTCAGATTCAACGTGCAAGGAGGTCGATTTGAGAGGCAAAGGCGTCGCGAGCTAGAGATTTCGCCGGTTCGAGGTGAGTAATGATTGTAAATGATATTTTGAGGGTTTGAAACCTCGTATCTGCACACCGTAGTGCTATATTGAGGTGACTTGCACGCCCGATAGCGAGTGTGGGGTAGAGCACCGTTGAGGATTGTGACTTAGTCCGTCCCGGTAGATGAATATACTGCGTATTTGACTGAAATTCACTTATTATCATTTTAATTGAGCTGATTGCTATATTTGGGCTTCGTGCCAATTGATTGAATCCTTCAGGGATTATTATTACTGGTTTCTTACCATTTGTGCATATCATTGAACTCAGTCCTAGTATTTAATACTGTTTTGCAAACTCAGCCACCTTTTCTTAAACTTGAAACCTAATTAATATTTTTAATGAAGTTTGGCCTGAATATTTCTATATGATTGTGCCCGAGGGGCTTATGTGATTTTTGGACTGAGTATAGGATCGGGCTGCACGCCGCAGCGGTATGATATTGATATTGATATGAGGCCGAGGGCCTAGTTGATGCCACGAGATGGCTTATTATTGCGCTTGGGCCGTAAGGGGCCCCTCCCGGAGTCTGCACACCCCCAGTGAGCGCCGCCGACGATAAACGGATCGGGCTGCACGCCGCAGCGGTATGTGGAGCGGGCTGCACGCCGCAGCGGTACTAGTACTATTCTGTGTGTTTACTTTATCTTATTTGCTTGCCTTACCTGTTGTTTGTGTTACTTTATGTGATATCTACTGGATTGCCTGACATTATCTGTTAATTGAGTGTGGTGCCCGAGGGGCGGACTTCTGTGCTTATCTGCACTATTCGAATTGCATTCGTTTGCAAAATGTTGAAAAAGTCATTTTCAAAGAAGTTTTAAACTAAGCTAAGATATTTCTAAAGATTTCACAGCTTCACTGCTTTTCTCAAAAGGTTTTACACTACTCCTATATAGCATGATGGTTTGCTTTACGTGATTTCTTACTGCTCAGTTATTATTTACCCTTATTACTCACTGAGTTGGAGTACTCACTTTACTCCCTGCACCTCGCGTGCAGATGCAGGTATTTGTTCACCCGGTAGCGGGTTTTGGCTGATCAGAGGCAGAGCTATAGGAGTAGCGAGGTGACTGCCTGCGTTCGCAGCACCATTTTTCTCCCTTTTGGTTCATTATTCCGGCTTTGTATATTTTAGATCTTGTAGCTGTATTTATACTCTGATAGATGCTCGCGACTTGTGACAGGCCGGTTTGGGTTGTGTTTGGGTTTCATTCTGCACTTATTAAAGAGATCTTTTGATAGATTGTGGTTATTTAATCATATTAAAGCTGCTTATTAATGTTAACTATTCTAAAAAGATAAGTTGGATTAGTTGGATGGCCTCGTCTTCACGAGAGGCGCCATCACGACCAGTGCGGGGTTTGGGTCGTGACACCACCAGACCCTTGGTTCCCCGGTGATGCAGGTGAATCATCGTGCCCCTATGAAAATGGGGGGTGAAGAGGTGAAGCATGAGTTGTAGAGAAATTCCCTGATCGGCCAGCTCCGCATACTTGATAAGCATAAGGAAGAGCTTGTATACATACGGAGAGAGTTGAGTCGAGCACACCTCGTCGAAGCAGCAGAAGTCCACCGCCAAGGAGGGAAGGGGAAGCATGTATCCAATGACAAATAGATATGCGTAAAATGCGCAGTAGCCTGGGCGGTGTATATGCACTATGTCACGACCCGCCGGAACTAGTTCAATGTGGTCAGGGATTCCCCATTTAGCTTTGAACGCCGTGAGCGCCGCAACACCCATCGTAGAATGAACAGGTTCCGGCTCATCCCCAGCAGGGCTGTTGAAGTCAGTCCTCGCCTTCCCTGGGCGGGGAACCACCTCATCTACCGTCGAAAAACTCTCGTCCTCTGCCAGACCCACTCCCTCTTCGAGTTGGGGTATATCATTTTCCGGCACCGGAGCACCAACGGCTCTATCAGGGTTGGAGGATGCATTAGCCATCTCTTCTTTGATTAAAAAAATCGGGAATGATAAGGGAAAAGGGTAGCGGCCACAAGAATTTTTAACAGAGAGAAATGTGAGAAATTGAAGAAGAAGAAGAAGAAGAGGAGTTGCAAAAGTCTCTCTTGATCGATTGGGAAGCATAACATTCAAATGTAAGGTTTTCCCCTATTTATAGGGACATAAATACCCTGAGCGGGAAAACCAAGTGCCGCCATTTTGAAAACGAAAAGGTCACGGGAAATGATGCAATGCGTAGAAAACGTGCGCCATAATGACGCATGAGAAGTTTTTAATGACATTCTGAACTGACGTGACTGTCTGATGCAGCTCTTGAAACGTCACGTCGCCACCTCGCCACGAGGTACTCACCGCTCGCATAAATTGCTCAGATTTCTCATAACTTTTGAATCGACAGAGTTCGCCCATCGAGCTCACCAAAAGACGACCTCAAAAGGTGGAGGGACTAACTGTATGGGTCAAAATCTTACTAGAGGAGAATCTGCGTGAAGAGGAACGACAAAAAGTCACTTGAGCCAAAGTCGTATCCATACAACGCTATAACGACATGCACCTCGGTCACGGTAGAGGTCGTGTATTCAAAATGCTTGAACGGCGAATTGGATGTTACAACATTTCATAGAGTCAACCGGTAATATAGTCAAATGACTAAGGTACTGTGGCTAATGACCGTTGTGTAAAGGAGAATACCTAGTATATAAACTAAGTGAGAGGGAGAAGAAAGGGGTATGAGACCATATCCACACACACATAAACATATCTCTTCTGATGAAGGGGGATCTTGATGTCTTTCTCCTCATCAAGGAGAAAGGAGAAAGAAAGCTCATATCCTCAATACCCATCATTAGTTGCATTAGATCAAGTCAACCTTATTCAAGAACGGTGACCCTTTTCATCTATGTATTCTTTGTTACCATTTAATATTACGAAGATTAACATTCTTTTCTTACATAATGAGATTCAATCATTGTAATAGTTAAATCTTATGTACAGTTATATTTGCTTATTCTTATATTCTATCTTGGATCTATGATAAATTATCTTTGGCTAGAATTTGCCCCAAATCTTCTTATTTAATTAGTTCAATAAAAAGTCTAAATCTTTTTGGTCGAACAGATAATAGATAGTACTCCGTAACCGAATACACGGCATTATCAACAACTTCTGAGATGTCAATTTCTCTATGCACAAAGTATCTTGTATTTACGTAGGGGTTCGGGAAATAGCCGCACCTTTAGGTGTGTGATGTAGATAGTTTATCCTAATACGAATGTTAATGGCTGTTTTTACGGCTCGAACCGTTAATCTTTAGGTCACACGAAGACAATTTTACTTTTTCTTCAAAGGTCCCTTTCAAGATGTCAATATCCTCGTGCAGTCTTTTTTTTAAGAGAAATTATATTTTTGAATTTTTCATCCCAACTTGACTCAAACTTTTACTTATTTATTCTTCTATCCATTTCACGAATGATTTAACATTGCTATGTTGTCTCTTATATGGACTTGGTGAAATTGAATTCTTTGTGAAGATGCGGAGTACCAACGGTTAGACGATAAGACCCCATATAACTTAACAAGCGATTGTAACACATAATTGATCTGAAACGAAGTACTCCGTCAATAGACATTGTAGAAAAAATCGAAAATGAGCCTAATTATTCTTTTCAAATTGCTCCAGTATGATAGACCGGGAGAGGAGGGGGGAAGTAGAGTACATTCCGTTTCATTTTATATATTAGTGTTTAACTGGACATAGAATCTTAAAAAAATAAGAATTTTGGCAATTTTTTAATGTATAATATGTCGAAAATAATTTTTGAAACTTGTGATTTTTAATATGCCAAGATCATTATTATAATAGAGTATCATCAAGGATAAATTTAAAATATTGGAGCTTTTTATAGAAAAGTGTAATGAACTAAAAAGATCTCTCGAACAAAACCAAACTAAACAATCATACTGTGTAATAGACTTTGGTAGGAAGTGACATCAATTTGTCGCCATGCAATTGACACACACCAAAATGTCTTTTTCCTTTATTTTGTTTACGCGAGCGTCCTCGAAGTCAAAAGCTGCTGAGGAAAAATTGAACCGTTAGATTAACTTTGCGTTTCCACGACATTTGGTTGTAGCGGAAAAAAGAAAATTGAAACTGAAGTTGAAAACATTCGGACTTGTATTTGTGAGAAAAGGTTTAAATTTGAAATGTTTCTTCAATATATTAAATACTACCTATTTAAGTTCAATATTAGAATACTGATAATTTAGCCATTGTCAGAAAATAATAGAGTAACAACTTTCATTATTAGTAATATTTATAATATAAATTATAAATATGTATATTATAAATATGAAATATCATTAATGGTCAAACTGGATTCCGTGTTGATGCCGAATCCAGAAAATGGATTTCTTTATGTCCGTATCTGCACGTACCAACAGTTACTCCTATTATTTAGTGAATAACTTCCTTATTCAAACCCCACTTCACTTCCTTTCTTCTTCCATCATAGCCAAATATTTATATCCCTTTTTGCTATTCCTTTTTAGTCATCTTTTTCTTCATTTCTGGTGAAGAAGTTTGGCTTTGAGCGATTGCTTTTTTGTGGGGTCTCAAACAGTAGGTACATTTTCTGTCTTTTCCTTTCTTGGTTGCTTTTACCCTTTTGTTTGTAAGTAAGTTGAAGTAAATTTCTTAATACACAGTACTCTGTTCTGTTGCCTTTTGTTTTCGTTGTTTTGTTAACTGATTCTTCACACCTGTTGACTTCTGAACATGATGAGTATCCATGTTTTGAGAACCAAAGAAATAGTTGGTGAACTGAAATCCTTGTATTTTTATGTGTTTATTGTTGATTGTTTTCTCAGATTGTTGTTGACTTCCTTTCTGAATTCTTCCTTTAGTTTTTGGTTTTAAAAAAGAAAGGAATCGATCTGCAGATTTCCCATTTTACAGCAATGAATAAGGGATTACATTTAATTAATCTGTTCAATGATCAAAATTGAATCTTAATATTCTGTTTTATGTAGGATTTTTGGAGCATTTCCAATTTGATAGCACTTTCACCGGAAAGGGTTTTATCCAGTGGTTTGAAGATGTATGTGGTGGAGAGCAAAGGAGGGGCTATTGTTTGCATGTTATTGTCTTTGTTCTTCTTAGGGACATGGCCAGCTTTACTAACTTTACTTGAAAGAAGAGGGAGATTTCCTCAACACACTTACCTTGATTATACTTTCACCAATCTGCTGGCTGCTGTTATAATTGCTTTTACCTTTGGTGAGATTGGGACAGGCACATTGGAAAAGCCGAATTTCCTTCCACAACTCTCCCAGGTTGGTGCCTTTCGCAGTCAAGAACTTTGTATGTGTATGAGCAGTGGTGAATCCAGATTTCAGATTTGAAATGATTAATAGTATACAATAAATAAACCACCAAATCATGAACTTTTTTTATATTATCACTAGACAATTGCGTTGGAGTTTGGACTAGTTAGAGTTTTTAATAAAACTAAAATTTACTTTAGTATAGACCTTGTGGAACCAATCAGTCCTGTTAGGTCAGAGTGTTTATTTTCACATTAAAGGTGGTGGTATATATTAGTTCTGGTTTCGTTGGTTTTCCATTGCTGTAATACTATGAATACTAAGTAATCTTTTTGAGTGAACGTGATTTTATATGTGACACATTTCCTGGAAGTCTTGGATTGGAAAATTAACACTCTAATTATATCATTTGGAACTTATGTAGGAATTTTCTATGTTGCATAACTTCTGCATAGTTATGTACAAGAAGGATGTTGCAAAATCTGCAACTTGAGAACGTGGCGATTATAACAAGCGTACAGGACTGTGATTAAATAGTTTGGAGAGATTGAATAACTATCCTTGCTAGTAGAATCCTTCATTGTATTAGACTACTTAATCTCTGCTCTTCCTAAAAGGTAAGAGGATAAATAGTGGACAATGAACATAGGAGGATGCAGAAGCAACATTTTGGTTATTACATGTCTCTAGAGTCCAATGAGCTGGTGGTGTATATATTGTTATTTGGTTAAATAAAATTTTACATTTTGACCAAAAAAAGAGTGACATTATGTTCAGTAACATTGGTTTCTCTGGGATGTTGTCCCCCTTTAACCTGGAGTTCGATTGGCATCTGTGTTAGTTTCTTCTATTTTTCTTGCTTTAACTTTCACTGCCAAGAGATCTGACTGAAACATTGAAGACTTTGTGCTACTAGAACCAAATATTTTTCTGCTAAAGAGTGCTTGAAGACTGTAGCAGTCATCATTACTAGCTACATTTTAAGGTTTTAGTGCATGCTTTTATCAAGACCAGATTGATCACATGTATTGTTGTTAATTGTTGAACTGCACAATAATAAGCATTTTGGAACTTATTCCAAAGTCATGTTTGTGGACAAATGGTGCAGGAGAATTGGCCCAGTGTAGTGTTTGCAATGGTTGGAGGGGTGGTCCTCAGCATTGGAAACCTTACAACTCAATATGCTTGGGCTTTTGTTGGTTTATCAGTTACGGAGGTCGTCTCCTCAAGCATTACTGTTGTTATAGGTAACATTTAACTTCAGTGGTTCATTACTCAGTTGAAATGAACTATTGACTGATTTTCTCTATGGCAAAGGAATTGGTAGTATCATAATTTGTTTAAATTTGGCTCTCTTGCTTTGTTTATGACAGGAACAACCTTGAATTACTACCTTGATGACAAAATTAACAAAGCGGAGATTCTTTTTCCTGGGGTTGGATGCTTCTTGATTGCTGTTTGTTTAGGCTCTGCTGTTCATGCATCCAATGCAGCTGATAACAAAGCAAAGCTCGATAGTTATTCAAATGACTCTAAAGATGGGATTCGGTATGCATCAGTATGAGGACATATGCAATACTTAATTATTCTTAACGCATTATTTTCACTTTTTTGCAAAATATGGAATGACATTTCTTATTTTTATTCATGAAAAAGTACATGAAGGACGGCGGTATTTTTTCCTGAGGTTTATATCATGACAGTGTTGATAATGTCTATATGCCTAGAAGAAGAGTACTGTCATTTATAAGACTTAAGCATATAGGTTGGCCATATTTTCTTTTATCTCCTATTTCTGCTGGACTTGGTGTAGAGGTAGGGTGCACTTTACTGGAAAAAGATGTTGAAAAATACCAAGATCCTGCATATTTCTATTAGCCAACAATCTCACCGACATGTTTATTCTACTTCTCTTATGCATATTTCCACTTAACATATCTACTTATTTTCCTCTAGTAATCAGAAGCTTAAGAGTGCAGGATATACAGAAACTCTGATAAGGATGTCATATCCCACATTGTATATAAGTATTTCACCATTATCTCTGGAAATTGATGTTGATTTTAGTTGAACCTTTGGCAGGGCTAACAGTATTATGGAGTCCAAACAAACAATTACACAGAGAGGTATTATAAGCTGAAAACCGAAGTTTCATTTCTTTACTATCTTTTAGATCCATAGCTTTATACGTTTTTTTGAAAAGAATTAATTTGGGAATACTAAAAATTCCACAGTTAGTGCAATAGATGTGGAAAAGGGAGTTTCTTCCACAGAGAAGGCAAAATTTGGGACTGCACTTTTCCTTATTGATCTTGAGAAGAGAAGAGCGATCAAGGTTGGCAATTCTTCTTGAATTACTTCTCTTATCAATTTTATTGTCGCTTCAATATTAACTGCTCCCTTGAAAATTTTTCTTGGTTTATGTTTAAAATGTAAAATATATTGTTGTAATAATGTCAAGACAATGTAGTGGAAGATGTCAGATTTGCTTGTAGGCTGAAGGGAAAAGCGCATTCCATGTTTGTCACATTCTTGCGTTTGCATGCAGATATTTGGGAAGAGCACTTTCATTGGTTTGTCGCTGACATTCTTTGCTGGAGTTTGCTTTTCTCTCTTCTCACCAGCATTCAACCTTGCCACAAATGATCAGTGGCATACTCTAAAAGCTGGAGTTCCACACTTAAGTGTCTATACAGCATTCTTCTACTTCTCAATCTCTTGCTTTGTCATTGCCATGATTCTAAACCTCATCTTCTTATACCGCCCTGTTCTAAATGCACCCAAGTCGTCTCTTAAGGCTTATCTTAATGACTGGAATGGTAGAGGTTGGGCTCTTTTGGCAGGACTTTTGTGTGGTTTTGGAAATGGTCTCCAATTCATGGGAGGTCAAGCAGCTGGATACGCAGCTGCAGATGCTGTCCAGGTTAGTAGTTTATATTCAAATTCAAGTACTTGAACAATTAATCAAAATCAACCATCCCTCATCAAGGTTGATGAAGAATGCTATTAGATATACTTTGATGTGAATTTATTCACTAGCTGCAAGTATGCTAAGTTATTTGAAATGTTGCTGTAATTACTAATTACAGGCGCTTCCCCTCGTGAGCACCTTTTGGGGGGTAATATTGTTTGGAGAGTATCGAAGATCATCCAGAAAAACATATACGCTCCTAATAGGCATGCTATTTATGTTTGTAGTAGCTGTTGGAATACTTATGGCATCGTCAGGGCATCGCAAATAGTGCATCAAACAGTTAGAACCACATAAATCATAATGCTCTTGTATATTATCATAATCAGAATATTGTTGTTATGTATATACATTGCTGTTTCTTTTTGAATAGAAGCACAGTTTATTTAAAATCTGCTGAAAAACTCACTGTACATAGGTATGATACATAGCACCTATTGCAATCAGATCCTTCTACATTATTGCATTTTGTATGCAAATCTTGATTTATTCTTGCAATATCACTGAAATCTTATTATCTGCTATCCAACTTGATGAACATTGATTTTGGTTGATACAACATTGTAGCCAGTGCCCATGAGTGTATTCTTGAACACATTTTCTGCCTATTTTTTGTCAAAATCACTTTAGATATACTTCAAAGGGTTACCCTTTTTTTGGCGAGAAAACCTGCATAATATTAATATACTTTATCAAAAGCTATAGTATTTCTCATCACTCTATCTCTGAGAGACTTTTTCTTTTCATATTTTCATGCGGTCTAACATATTTCTTGGTCTGATTATTTAAAAATATTTCATCAATAATTATTTTGAAAAGCAAAAAACATCCAATATAAAGTATTTAGTTTATACTGATACAAATATCATTCTAAAGTATTTTATAATTTTAATACTTTAATCGAACGTAGGATTTGTGGTAAGCTGACAACACATCCATAATTCACAAGATCCAAGGGAAAAATGCCAAAGTCTACTGTGGTTGAGGAAAATAGGGTACTAGAGCAGCAAATGATTGAAATGTGTCAAGCATGGGCCAATGGCCAAGGACCACCCTTTTCTTCTCATGGTTTCCCAGAGTTCACACCCATCTCGACTACTGTCATGCCAGTCTCATTGTCTGATCAATCCTATCCACTTGGGTTCAGTCATTATCCCAACTGTACGACTACAGTTGGAACTTCTGTTGTGCGCTCCCAAAGTTTGCCATTGACAACCAATCAGACAACTACTATTGTTATGCCCGTCTTCACCATCCCACAATCGACGGTGGTGCAGAAGAAAACTCATGAGTCACAATTTGCTACCCAGCAAGAGCAGTACCACTCTCCTGAGTACCACTCGTACTTGTTTGATCTTCCTGCAAACATTGAGAAGCTTGCCCGAAAGATGGCATTGGAAGAAATGACCCAAAGACTAAAAAGCTTAGAACAACAGTTGAAAAACATGCAAGGGTTAGCAGGTCAGAAGAGTATTGCCTTCAAGGATCTATGTATGTTCCCCGATGCTCGTTTGCCACTTGGTTTCAAGATCCCCAAATTTGAAAGGTATGATGGACATGGAGACCCAATAGCCCACCTGAAAAGGTATTGCAGTCAGCTAAGAGGTGCAGGAAGAAATGAAGAATTGCTAATAGCTTATTTTGGGGAAAGCCTTAAGGGAGTAGCCTCCGAATGATTTATGGATCAAAACACCTCTCACTGGCATGTCTGGGATGACATGGCCCGAGCCTTTGTCAAACAGTTCCAATACAACATCGACACCGCACCAGACCGCAATTCCCTTTTAAACCTGAAGAAGAAACCAACTGAAAGTTTCAGGGAATATGTCATTAAATGGAGAGAGCAAGCGGCTAGAGTTAAGCCACCTATGGATGACCACGAGCTAATCACTGTATTCCTTCAGGCGCAAGAGCTAGATTACTTTCAAAATATGATTTCCGCAGTTGGCAAATCCTTCTCGAAAGCAATCAAAATGGGAGAAATGGTAGAGATTGGCCTTAAGATAGGCAGAATTATAAGTCAAGCAGCTCTCAGAGCTGCAACTCAGTCTGTCCAAATTGAATCTGGTAATTTCAGTGACACGAATGAGAAGGTTGAAGAAATCATGATGACATCAGGGTTGAGAAGAGGTCCTAGGAGAACATCTCGAAGGTATGACCAGCCTCGTCTGTTTTTTGATGATTCTCTTGAGCACTACTATCCACCTCAGAACCCACAGTACTCTGTTGCTCCACCCCAGTATGTTGTCCAGATACCAAGACACCCCAGAAGGCGAGCACCAGCACTGCAAAATCTCCACCAGCCTCTACAAAATTTTCAAGTGCCCTATAACCCACATCCAAGCCAGGGGTATAGAAGGGAACAAAGGTTGAAAGATAATTTTACACCAATAGGAGAGTCTTATGAAAGCTTATTTGAGAAGTTAAAGCATTATGACATGATTGCACCCATTCCTCCAAATCATGTGGACCCACGTGCAAGAAGTTTTGACCCATCTAAAAGGTGTGAATATCATTCCAATGCCTAGGGGCACAATGTTGAAAGTTGTCGGGATTTGAAAAGATAAATAGAAAGGATGATCCAGGAAAAACTAATTGTGATCCAAGACAATGACACCCAGAATATCACGCAGAATCCTTTACCTGCACATGATGATGCACATTTTGTGGGGATGATGCCTGGTGACATGGAGTATGAGGATCCTCTAGGGAACTTGTTGACTGAAATTGGAGAAGGCCATGGTGATTCTGATGAGCAAATTTGTGGCTAAATATCAAGCTTAGCAATTGAAAAGTCATTCTCTCCTCACTAGGAAGGAATCTTGGTAGCTTGTTTTGATGTTTTTTCTGTTATCTGGGTTATTTCAAGGTTGTGATCCAGATTTTATTTGTTTTATTGAGTCAAACTCTTCTATCCCTTTATTTTGTCTGTGTGAGTCTTGCCTGTTTGTTCTGTTGCTATTTTCAGTGTCTGGTTATTTCAAGGTTGAAGTTCGGATTTTAGGTTGTTTTTCTTATTGTCAAACCCTTCCATCCTTTACTCAATGAAATTTAGTTTGTTCTTTTGTGTCATTCCATGTTTAGTTCTTTTGCCGCTAGTTCTAGTGACATGATATGCATTTTTAGCCAGATCTTAGAAAATTTATTTAAGCTTGGTTAACTGAGAAAAAGACACTTTTGAGGATGAAAAAGAGTTGAAATACCTTGGAATTAAGCCCGAGTAAAATTTAAGTGGAACTAGAATAGTCGTACCCGTGGAAGTTAAAGATCTTTACCTTCGAAATCATTGTGAAGATCGGGTTTGAGGAAGAATCAATTGAAGTTTGTTGGAAAGTTTGACATTAAGGGATGGAAAGTGTCTTGTGACCATGACACACCCAGAAGACAGACATGTTCGTCAATGCTGTGATCGCGAAAAGATAACATGATTGGCATTCTCGAGGCTAGAAGACCCTTTTTCTGCTATCCAAACACTTTATATCCTTCACTACCCCTTTTGAGCCTGTGTTATTTTCTTTGAACACCCTCTTTTGGAATCAAGTTTAGAGTCAAGAGACAAAAAAACAAAAAAAAAAAAGAAAAAGAAAAAGAAAAAGAAAAAGAAAAGAAAAGTCCATGTCCAAAAGTACAAACTGGGGCAATTTTAGAAAGTTCAAGTGAAAAAAATGAAGAAAAAAAGAATTGTCAAAGGTCCATACCCCCAGAAAATAGAAGCTGGGGCAACTTGTTTTGAAAACAACAAAAAAAAAAGATAAAAGAAAAAAAAAAGACAAAGAAAAAGAAAGAAAGATGAAAAAAATAGTTAGGTTAGATGTTTAAACTACGTTCGACCTGATTCCTTAAAAAAAGGGGATACGTAGGCAGCCTTACACGGTTCGGTCTAACCAAATAAGAATTCAAAAAAAAATCCAGTATCTGAAATTGGGGCAAAGATTTTATTTCACTTTTGAAAGAGTCGATTCCAAGAATTGTAAGTCTACAACCCTTCATTTTGAGTCTACTTTGAGCCTTCATGCCAACCCTCATTTCCAACCTTATCCAAAAGCCTTCCAAATAAAGACCTCCCGATCAACCTTCAAGAATGCCAAGAGATGCATGCAATGAACAACAGTTGTCACACGACATAGAACATTGTCAGTTGCTCACACAAGAAAGCAAAAGAAAAAGAAGAATAAAGAAGAAAAATGAGAGAGTTTTACTAGTGAAAACCCTCACGGGCACTGTAAGACGACGGCAAGCAGAGACGAATAAATGAGAGAGACTTATCGGTGAAAATTCCTCGAGGCACAACTAGTCGAAAGTGAGTCATGAAGTCGATGCAAAGGATCGGCACGAACAAGCCCGACTTCAAAGATCATAAGAATGGTAAAAGGGAAGATTGGATTAGTTTGATAGATCAGGCCGTTGAGTCCAAAATGCATGTCATGATCATTAAGGCTAGTTATTGGAAAAAAAAGAGAAAAAAAAAGAAGAAAAAACAACTCTTCCTTCCGTCCTTCCGATAGGGGCATTTGTTGTTAACACTTATTTCTTTGCATCATTGTGTCCTTCACTCTGAGTCAGTCCTTGTCAAAACAAGAAAGAAAGGATTTCAAAATCTGCTACAAGCTTTTCAATTGCACAGAGTAAATTTGCCCAGCATACTCAGGTGTTAAAATCAACATGACTTGAGGATTCATGCAAAGGCTTCCCCCCAAAAGACTCTTGTCAGCCTACTTGGCGCAAGCAAAGATAACTTGTGATTCTCTCTGACAGACAAATTGCTCAAAAGCAGGAAGTCATTGAAGATATCAGAAAATGTCACCTGAGCAAAGATCTCCAGTTGGGATAAGGCTGATTGAGCCACCAAATACCAATGGCATTGGGAGCAAAAAATTAGGATTGATACAGAAAGTAAAGGCCCCTTTGAAAGCAACAGAGTCTTCCATCAGTGCAGCCAATTACCAATACAGTTAGTTTTCTGAAAGCGAATGTGCACACAGCCAAGCTGCCAAAGATCAAGGCCACAAACCAACCACCACCTTGTAAAACTGACAAAGTTTTCTTTGTTTGAAACAGGAACAAAGCAGTGCAAGGAAAGTGGTTCAAAAAAAAAAGAGAGAAAAAGAAAGAAAAATAAAAAAAGAAGAAAAGAAAGAAAAAGAAGAGAAGAGAAGAGCCGACAAAGGGAAGTTTCTCAAATCTTTGCCTTTATTTGTCTTGCTAATGTGGATAAAATGTTGCCATTGCACTCACATTCTTTCTCCTAGGATAAAAATCTTAGTCTGATGAATTTTTCTCCTAAGATAGAAAACCTAGTCTGATGAATTTTCTCCTAGGTAGAAATCTTAGTCTGATGAATCTTTCTCCTAAGATAACAAAAAAAGGGACCTAGTCTGATGAACTTTCTCCAAGGATAAAAATGTTAGTCTGATGAATTTTTCTCCTAAGATAGAAAACCTAGTCTGATGAATTTTCTCCTAGGATAGAAA